TCTCTCTCTCCCTCAAATAAATAAATAAAATCTTAAAAAAAAAAGAATGGGAAATATATGTACCACAATACTATAGCATCCATTTCTGGATAATGGAACACAAGTGATTTTTATACAAATACAAAAATGGACAAATACAAAGTATATGATAATGTTTAAATTCGAAAGTAACTTCCTGCATATAGCTCTGTAAGTTGACAGATACCTCTAATATTTCAAGGAAAATATTTAAAACATAAGCCACTTTATCAGCCATATGTGCAAAGCCTTTATAGTGTCATAGTAAAATAAACTTTTGTATTACCAAATAAATCATTGAAGTTGAGATTGAAAGCTTCAATAGCACTTCTCAGAGCTGTCAATGAAACAAGTACTTCAGAGAAAATGAGCTGCTGGATAAACAAACACAATGTACCTCTAGTTACAGAGGATTTTTCACCTGATCAGGCAAACATGGATATTATTATATCTACAGGATAGAGGAGGAAAAGATTATCAGCTATTAACACATGTACAAAGGAGGAGGGCGCCTGGGTGGCTCAGTTGGTTAAGCGACTGCCTTCGGCTCAGGTCATGATCCTGGAGTCCCGGGATCGAGTCCCACATCGGGCTCCCTGCTCAGTGGGGAGTCTGCTTCTCCCTCTGACCCTCTTCCCTCTCGGGCTCTCTATCTCTCATTCTCTCTTTCTCAAATAAATAAATAAAATCTTAAAAAACAAAACAAAACACATGTACAAAGGAAAAGCTCTTTTCTCTCAGCTATGGGATTGTCCCAAGATGCAACATTTGGCACCCTGCTCTTCTCATCCCTTCACTCAAGCAAGGCAGCCCTTCCTACTGACTTAAGTCACTCCTGTACAGCTGACATCTAGAATTCTAACTTTTGCTTTGATGTAACTTCCAACTGTCCTTACATTTCTGAGAAGTTTCATATGGTTTGTCTGTTAATGTCTACTGTTGAAAAAGAGAGGGGTTGGGTGATGGCAAAGACAATAGAAGTAAAAAAAAAAAATCCTCAAAGAAAGATGCAAATTTGCCTACTACATTTCTAGATCATATATGGGGAAATAAGCATAAATGAGATTAAATCTGTATAAATGCTGAAGAATCAGAGAATAATTCTCAATGGCAATGCCTTTCAAGTCTTGAGAGAAAATGATTTTAAACTTAGGATCTCGTATGTAGTCAAACTAACATTAAATGGCACAGCAAAACAGACATTTCCAGAAATGTGAAGACTCCAATAATTTTGTTGTATGAGGCTGTACCTCAAAGAAAGTCTAAAGGTGGTAGTTGGACAAAATAATAAAAATAATAATTAACTATAGAGAGCACAAGAAAGGTTGAGAAAAAAACTAGAGATGAGTAAATACATAACTAAGACTAATGATTTTTGGTGCATAATGATAAAATGATGAGTTTTCTAAAAGCAAAACTCTTTGAATTAAATATAGGTGGTAGCAAGTGGAGGATGGAAAATGAAAATAGGTTAATGAGGTTCTTACATTATGGGAAGAGAGAAAGTAAGGAAAAGATGAGAATAGTGAATAATTTAGATGCTGGTAAGTCCCTTGTTCCTGCTACTCTTGAGCATTGTTTTGGAACTTCAACATCAAGAAGACAAATTAGGATAAGAAAGTGAAAAAGGAAAATGACACCATCATTATTTCTTGATATATAGTAATATTTCTAGATGCTATAGCAAATTCCCTAGATAATGAGATAATTGACATAAAAACAGCGGGAAGGGATGAGAAAGTTCTAGAAGATATCTGATACAAGATCAAAGTTAAAATTAGTAGCTTTCCTAAACATCAAGAATGTACAGATAGAAAATACTAAAGGAAAAAGTGAGTTCATATACAAAGAAATAGCAAAACCAAAAAAATGAAATCTATAAAAAACCTCAATATATAAAATAAATATGAAAACAAAAGTGCAAATTCTCAATTTAAAAAATGATAAAATATCCTTGAAGTTTTAAAAGAAAACCAAATAAATGGGGGAAATACATTATGTTCCTAGGGAGGAACTTACATTAGTATGGAAATGGCTTTTTTTGTAAAAACAAAAATCCTCTTCAGATTTCTTTCCATTAACAAAAACAGGCACTAATGTAGGTCTTTCATAAAAGTGAAATGGTGTGAGGCAAATTTTCAGAAAGTGAGGGAATACTCTCCATTTTCTGGAGTTTTTGCTATAAAAGTTTTCATAGGAACTGTCTACTTTCAAATAGAGGAGGAAACCTGTAATGTGAACCAATTAAGCAGCTTACTTTTCAAGATTGACAGCTTATTCATCAGTACCCAGGTCTCAGTGTCTGTGATCCAAAGCTCTCATGTCATAAACCCTGACCATCCCATTTATTCCCTGTCTTCAAGACATACCCTCGAATCATTCAAGACTATGCACAAAAACCTTACAGATACTGTTCTCCTGTGTCGAGGTAGCATTCGTCTCCATTTGCTAATCTTCTCTTTGTTTCACCAGCCTGTGTTTCTGATAGTCTTTTGGGGTGTTGATGGCAGATGCCTGGTCATTGCATCACTAGGAAGCCCTTGATGTGAACTGATGCCTGGGGAGATTTTATTGCCTATGGAATGGAGCTAATACATATCATTATTATTTCGGAAATGAGTCATCTTTTCCTAGCTGTAGACACTGGGAATCCTTTTTTCCTTCTTTTCAAGTAGTATCTTCCATTTCATAGGTCTCTGCCTTATTTGCCTAATTATGTAATACACTAATAAATAGCATGGTGCCATTACAGTTGGTGTATCTAAAACCAAATTCATCAGTTCACAGCAAGTTTTGTCCTTAGGTGTTCTATATTTTCTTCTCTTATCCCCAAATCTCCAGGATCTCAGTTGTTTGATGATTGGTTTCATTTTGTGCTAGTTCTAAGAATTTCTCCACAGGAAGGTGTGATTCCAGGTCTTAGTTGAGAAGAAATTACAAGCTAAGACAGCATGATGTCAGGCACCCACGACAAAATGTTTTTGTTTTTGTTTTTCCTTTTCTGGTAAAAGCTTGACATTTATACCTGTAGGTATCCCAACTGGAGGAAATAATAAGATAAGAGTTGGAGTCAACCATACTATTTCTCTGTCAGACTGCCCCTACCCCACCCCTGGGCCTCCACCCAACATATAGGAACTCTGGAAGTTCTCATTATCTAAATTAATTGTTGCGTTGTCCACAGGGACTCATATGTTACTCCAGGAACTGCTCTTCCTGCCAGCATGTGGAATTTTTTTTTCTTTTCTTTTTTTCCTCTACTGGCCCATTGTGACAATATTTCCATTAACTCCCAGTAACTAAAGGGATCACACCAGTATCTGCGTATGTTTCCACTGCTGCTGCTTAAGTTCACAGAAGTCAAATGAAGGCTGCTATTGCTTGAGGCCCGAACGATGGATACCTTGGCCAATAGCACCCATTTTTTGTCCTGAAGAGATTAGGACATCTCCAGAGTAGCTGCTACCAGCTACTGTTGTCATCATCTGTATCTCACTCATTTGCCATCGCCAACTTTGTTTCAGCCATTAGCACTTCTACGAGTGTTGAAATAGCACTCTCAGTGTTCATGGGAATTCTAGGGAAATGAGTTTTATTCATTTACTCTACCTCTCTCTCAGGAGTCAGGCCTGAGTTCCCAGGCGATGGGCTGGGGGAGATAGGGGTGAGCCATATCACTTCTGTACTAGGAGTCACCCTTGGAGGACACAGCCTTTGTTTTGGGGCCAACTCTATTCTCTTTTCCTTTAAGGTGCTCCCTATCCTCACACCCATATATCCAACAGTCCATCCACATTGACTTAGAATGAACCCATTTGACCTGGTCTTCAGAGAAATGTAGATATTCTTGAATTCTAAAATTATGTAATATTCAAGCTGATTCCTCTGTTTAAAAAAAAATAGGGGGAAAGTAAATTTAGAAAATGACTTGTGTTCTGCTTTGTATTTCAGAAACCGATTTCAAAATAAGTACTAAAAGAAAAAGAAAAAAAAGGAGGAAGAAACACACATACATAGCATCATGCTGAAAATAGTAAAAAAATGTGATGATTGTACATATATCAGTTTTATAGTAGAATTTACAAAATGGTGAGAAAAAAAGCAGCAACAAGGCATTCTGGCAGCAGGCTGCACAGCGCTGACTTGTGCAGTACCAGTGGCTCTGTACAGCAAAGCCTTGGGAAAGAGAATAGTGGGGTCTAATGTTAGCAGCGGTGGAGCAGCCCCCTAGGGGAGGCCTATATGGATAACACAATAATAACTGCAGGGTGGACACAAGAGGTTACGTGGCTCTTAGCTGCATTCGAGAAATCAATTAGGTAGGCCACAGAGAAGTTTAAACCGGAAAAAGAGTTGTTTGATATTTTAGTAGATAAACTCACTAGGAAACCTGAAGTTGAGGACTTAAGGAAAAATGCTCTTAAAAATTCTGGGAGGAACTGAGTCAGATGTTGAAAAACATTGCTTGTTTATGTAAAAAGGGCTTGAGGAATAGTGTTTTTTGAAATAGTAAAAATGATGAATTAGGAATTAGGAAAAGATAGAGATATGAAACCAAATTTTCTTTCTTTGAGGGCAGTCATTCTCTGGCTTTTAGAAGTACAATTCTTGAGTAAGACTTTCTGTAAGCCGGGTCTGGGGAGGGTGGAGGAAATGCTCATGAGGATCATTGCCAACTCATAGCCTTCCTTCTGAAAAGCGTACAGACGGGTGGCATTGGAGTCTGGAAATGTAGAACTGACTTAGAGTTTTGGCTTCCCTTGAGCTTCTATTGCTTCATCTATAAAGGAGCACCTAACTTTCAGGTTTATTTTTAAGTAAACAATGTATGTAAAACTGTATAAAATCACCTGGTGCTAATCTTTATTTAAAAACAACTATGCACCAAAAAAAAAATAATGTATTTTTTTTATGTTATGTTAATCACCATACATTACATCATTCGTTTTTGGTGTAGTGTTCCATGGTTCATTGTTTGCATATAACACCCAGTGCTCCGTTCAATATGTGCCCTCTTTAATACCCATCACCAGGCTAACCCATCCCCCCACCCTCCTCCCCTCTAGAACCCTCAGTTTGTTTCTCAGAGTCCATAGTCTCTCATGGGTTTTTAATTATTTTATTTTCCCAAGTTAGTACTCAACAAATTTCAAACCCACAGGAAAGTTTAAAGAACTCTTCACCAGAATGTTGTTAACATTTTGCCATGTGGATCTTCCTTTCACTCTATCATGTCATTCCAAAAGTACCTTAGCATGCATCTCCTCAGGACAAGAATATTCTTCTACATAATCACATATATTAAAATAGGAAATTTACCATTGTTTCAATTATGTTTTCTAAGATGCATCCCATACTTAGTTTCTTCCCAGTATCTAATCATGTCCTTTGTAATAGTTTTTGTTGTTTCTTTGTATTTTCAAAGTTTTTGTTTTGTTTTTATTCAAAGATGCAATTGAGAATCACATTGCATTTACTGATGCCCAGAATTTTCTAAATTAATAACATTGATATTTCAAGAATCCAGACCTAATATCTCTCAATTTGGATTTAGTCTGATTATCTATAACATTTAAGACAAACAAGGTGGATTTGTAAATATTATGAAAATATCTCATCTATATTTAGAACAAACAAGGTAGATTTGTTATGTTTCCTTCCCTCTGGTTAATATCTTGTATATAACATTTCTCCACATCAGGGATTTCTATGAGCCTGGTCATGTAGCCCCCTACCTGTCCCTCCCTACCCAGCCTTACTCCGAGATACTGGAGTATCTCTGTCCCTTATTCAGAGATCATAGAAACTGGAATGAAAATATTTTCTAAATATGGAGGATGAAATCGTTCTCAGTATTTATCCTTCTAAAATAAATACATCTGTGAGTTCTTCAGTATTTTTAATAGTGAATCAAAGTGTTGGTGGTAGAGGTGAGTGAAGCTGCCAGCTGCATTCCTATTTCAAGCTCCTTTGTGATGGGTAATGCTGTGTTCATGACTCAGAAGTACAACTTTCCCAATCCCACCTTCTTCAATTACAGGGAACTGGAGCCTGTTTTCTATCTCCATGACTGACTGGAAGTCCCACTAATGTCAACACCATATCCCCACTCAACTCCCCCCAGCTTTCTCTCTCTGTCACACACACACACACACACACACACATCATACCCATCACACACACACACTCCTTAGAGAATAATAAGACAGGGCACCTGGATGGTGCAGTTGGTCAAGTTCTGGACTCTTGGTTTTGGCTCAGGGTCATGAGGTGAGTCTGCTTGGGTTTCTTTCTCCCTCTCCCTCTCCCTCTGCCCCTCCCCTCCCCGCACTCTCTCTCTCTCTCTTTCTCAAATAAATAAATCTTAAAAAAAAGAAAATACTAAGACAATTCACATCATTTCTATATTCTAATAAACGTGTATATTTTCTGCTGGTTGATGGAAAATCTTGTAAATGCCTCAGTCGTTTTTTCTTAAAACCATTGCGAGGCACCTAGGTGGCTCAGTCGGTTGAGCCTCTGACTCTTGATCTCAGTTCAGGTCTCCATCTCAGGGTTGTGAGTTCAAGCCCCACATTGGGTAAAAAAAAATATTGCCAACAAATGCTTCCTGTCGTTGGTAATTTGCTAGTTAGTTGTTTTTTATCTCTCTTTTCCCCGTCCCTACTGTCAAACAAACTAATATTAAATCAAATGCACATCCACAAGTAAATTAAATAATGTATATCTACATGTGTTTATATATATTTGAAATTATAGAATTTTTCTCATTTATCAGTGGATTATTTTATAAAGAAAATTTGAGTATATTAATATCGAAACTAGAAAAATTAATAATGATTGGATGATTCTTAGTTTTTTATTGAGATATTATTGACATATAATATTATATTAATTTAAGGTGTACCACATAATAATTCAATATTTGTACATTTTATGCAATGATTACCATAGTAAGACTAGTTAACATCCATCATCCCACATAGTTACAATATTTTTTTATGAGAACTTTTATAATCTACTCTCTTAGCAACTTTCAAATATACAACACAGTATTATTAAATATAATTACTGTACTGTACATTACATTCACATGACTTATTTATTTTCTAACTGGAAGTTTTTATCTTTTAACCACCAATTTTGCCCCCCCCATTATCTATGGCTAAATAATATTCCATTGCTTATATGTACCACATTTTCTTTA